TTTCGCTTTTTAAGTTGTATACTCTTTTTAACATTGCATCTCTACTAAGCCAACGTACTTCGGTATTAAAATCCACATCGCCATATTCAGTTTCTAAATCTTTCAGGAATTCTTTAAATTCACGGTGATTTAATGCGCGCGACTTTATAAAATTGATTTTTTTAATTATTGGTACTGTGACATTTGGCAAACTCAATCTTTTCGCACATCAATTTTTCTGGTGAATTATGCAGTGGTTAACGAATATTTCCCTTGACATTGCTCGTGCTCCATCTGTCGATATATCAATAATCTTTTCTAATAAAATTGAAAAATTTTTCTAACACAGACTTTAGTTCATCGTACAGGTCTTGGCCGGTTGTAGTTCCTTTCATTGGAATCAGTGAACACAATTCTTCGGTAATATTAAATTTGATGTCAATACCACGTAAAAATATAGCCAGTTGTGCTGTATCGCTAATATCGCAACTCTCATCAAGTGCCAAAAAACACTACAACTAACACTAGCACTATCACTAGAACTAACACTAGACCTAGACTCTTTCGGATTAAGACGTGCGTTTTTTGAAAAAATGTTTGACGTTTCGGATGCCATGTTGCAACCTTCTTCAGAAACAAGTTCGAAGTGACACAAGTCATGGCCAACTATAGTTTCCATTAGCAAAATTACAAGTTTGTGTCATAACTCAAAAATGGTTGCTTAACTAAAAAAGATCAGTTAGATTGTTTTATTAAACATGTAATAACCTACAAATTTTTCCTTTACACATTTCTGCTAAAATCAATAATAACGGAGCCATAGGTATCGAACGATAGAACAAAAAAACGGTTTTTTCGATATATCTAGTTAGCCATGCATTTTATCCAAAAAACAAGAAGCTTATTAAATTGAGTTCATGAAACTGCAGTTCTTTCCCTATTTAATCGTCTCTCTATCTCCGCTAGTTTTCAAGATCTCTATACTAAACATGGAAAAAAAACATCCTGTATATTTATCGAATTTCGATTTACACGATTTTCCATTTACGTAGATACTGTCAGATACTGATATCATTTCTAATGTATCTTGCACATCTTGGTGATTAAAATCTTTGTAACACGATTCAAAAATCTTAGACTTCAAAGATCAGTTGTTATAAAACTCTTTAAATCAAAAGTTTGTAAAAAGCTTATTGTACTATACCAGGTTAGCCGATATCTTTCAATAACGGGGCAACAAATCTATTTCTACCTATTGCATCGTAAAGGAAATTCAAAATCCTTTAAAATGAGTCCAAACTCGACCTACTTACGAAAACATTAACGTCAAAAAAAATATGGCGGCGTTTTTGAATCCTTAACCTAACCTTTTTTTGCTTTTTAAAGGAACTAAGGGGCGTTTGGTTTCAAAATAAAGCATTTATAAATCTCATTAAAATTATTTTAATATTTATCAAAAAATAATTAAATTCGATTGAGACATTTGACAGTTTTTAACCTTTTATTTTACAACCTACATAAAGCAGTCGTGTTTGGTGATAAAGCTGTTCAGGGCTACCCAAAATAAGAATGCAAAAAGCCATAATCAGCTTCACTTTAACAGACAGACAACGAAGCGACGACATCAGAAATAAGAAGCCAAAAACTGAGAAGGGGTTGAGAAAATGGCCGAGGGCGTTGAGACGCTGGACATCAGCATTGCAAGATGGACCATAATGAGGCACATATTAGTATGTATAGGTCTAAATCCCAAATTACGAAGAAGAGAAAATTCAGGTTTTGCTATCAAAAATTAGTCGTAACCTGCATATGTCCTTGTAAATAACATTAAGGCAATTTTAATAGTTATTTATATTACAAGTGGGCTAGAAACATAATTACAGTACGAGTGTGGAGAATTGCACGACGAGGTCGTAGACTGAGTCGAGTAATCACACGAGTACTGTAATTATGCTCTAGCCCACGTGTGATATACAGCATTTTATCTACGACTGCTAAAAATTACTAAAAAATCAATTTCTTTAGAAAAATCTATTTGATATACTTATATAAAAAAATTTTGAAATGATTGTTGACAATTTTGAATTGTCAGTTTCAACAACATGTTTACTCATTTGGAATAAGTGTTTTGAAATGTAAAAACACAACAATTAATGTTTATAATAAATAGTATTGTTTCTCTGTAAGTAGATAGCACTTTTTCTTTTGTATTGTTGCTCATTTCAATAAATTAAATCTGTTCTGATTAGGCTAAAAATGCCTTACGTAATGAAACCAGTGCGGTAATGAACTTCATTACGTAACTTAAATCATCTCAAATGAGTGCGGTAATGATGACTTATCCAAGGAGTCGTAGATAAACAATTTTAACGTCATTCTGTTTCTTCCTTCGTACAAAACGACTTTTTGAATCATTGTTACATAAAACGTTTTCGAGACATTCGCTTCTCAGTTAAAAAAATACCCTATACACTATATCTATTGCATAATATTTTGTATTCATTTTAGCAAAGTTATAATAATTGTAGAAATTGACAATCATGCATAATGATAGACAGTCTTCACCTGCATTTATGCAGCTTTTTTTATTATGTTCAGGGTAATCATTATCGTAAGAACCTTTTTCATACTTCTATATTAACATTTTTTTATTTAATATAATAATTTATATCCGCAACAATTTAAGCAACAAATGCCAAATATTGCGTTTTAATATAATTACTATTATTAAGAACGCTCAGGATGTTTTCAAACAATTTATTTATACATCCGGTATTTATAAAATTAATTTAAAAATTTATGGAGTGTTAAAGACTTCTAAAAAGAAAACCGGTTCATTTATTTAGTAAAAAAGTATTATATTATTCAAACTTGTTACTTCAAGTTTATATTATATTAAATCATATGAAATACAAGCAGTACTTTTAATGGCAAATATATTAGTTTAGTTGACAAGTATAGTAGGATCAGATATACTTATTGTATCATCGTTTACTTTGCACCGTTCACTTAACACCGGCGGAAGTGAAATTTTAAGCACATTAACAAAGATATCATCAAATCTACAGATAGATAAATTTCTTTTCATGTGACTGAAAATTAATTTCAAAATATCGAAATTCTATAAACTTTAGGAAGCGGATAAAATTACTGCAATCCATCATTACCATTTTTTTAAGCGTTTTGAGATATGTATCTCCTTGATCTGATTCTTAAGTGAAAGTAATCCATTCGTACAACATCCGTTTTATACTTGGGCAACCGAGGGATACTTCGAGGCAAACTTTGAATTAAAAGTAACAAAAATGTATTGTATAAGATTTCCTAAATTACATAACAAACTATGCTCTATTTTTAACATTCATTTTTAAAAGTCTGTATAATTACAAGAAACAACGTAAATTATATTCAAAGTAATGACTTAATTATTAATCATTTTGTTATTATCGTAATAACCGCACACATTATTATCAGGTGAACTACTAGAAATTGCTGGAAAAAATTAACGTGATTAACATCAAATATAAACGATGTTCGACAATTTTATCGTATTGATAAGAAAAATTATTTGCACAGTTTGGCGAGGTGCACAAGGAATAGGCTATATTCGCGGAATCGGTTAGGTTGACACAAATGTAGGCGCCAGACGTTTTTAACGGTGATGGAATAAATGTGGCATGTTTTTATCAGGCTGTTTTAGAAGTGATTTAGAACGTTTTTAATTCATAAAAATCTAAAAATAGCATTAAAACCAGCTTACTAGATCATAATGTTATTACCAGCAAACTCAAATAAATTGTTTTAGAATTGGAAATTTTAAACTCATTACATCTTTTATATCAGTGTCCAAAACGTCGATCGCTTCAAAGCAGTTTTGAGTCGATCGCCAAGAAAATCATGAATCTGAAATATCTATATCTGGGCCTCAGAGCAAAAAAAGGGAAGGTTACTTTAAACCCTTCCGTCGATCTTGGCAAGACATTTATACAAAAAGTCGATTTTGATCTAAAATTAGTGGATACCACTGCTCTAAATCGATTAAACGTCAAAATTGTTGATTTTCGAAAATTAACTCAATCATAACTCAAAAACTAAAAGCGATGGAGAAATACCTTTATCTATTACTCTTATTTATTTATTACGTTTTACATAAAACCTTAGTAATGGGCCATTAAAGACTAGATCTATAAAAAGATTAAACCCAATTATAACCGTTCTTTATTTAGTAGCTTTAAATCGACTAAACATCAACATTGTTGATTTTCGAAAATTAATTCAATCATAACTCATAAACTAAAAGCGATGGGGAAATATTTTTTATACATAAAACTTTAGTAATGGACCATAAAGACTTGATCCATAAAAAGATTGAACTCAATTATTACTATTTTTTATTTATAAGCTCTAAATCAGTGGTGGCCATAACGTCGATCGCCAAGAAAATCATGAATCTGAAATATCTATATCTGGGCCTCAGAGCAAAAAAAAAAAGAAGGTTACTTTAAACCCTTCGGTCGATCTTGGCAAGATATTTATATAAAAAGTCGATCTTTTATATAATTTAAAACATTGAAAACAAAAAATTCATTCAACTTTCACACATGAGTTGCCAATTATGCAAATATTAACCCATTTTTTTGTATTATTATCTTTGTTTTCTAAGCCTTAATTGCACAAACGTATTGTTTATCCAAAAGGCAAAGCAATACCTGCGTAGTTTACGTCAATTTACCATTCTTCCCGTTTTTTATAATGATTTACGAGCGCAAACAATACAATTAAAAATACTGTTACGTCCAAGTGTATTTTTCCTTTGTGTTTTCATTCGAAAATATCAAAACACATAAAACTATCGGTTTATCTTTAATGAATCAGAAATATGATTTATTCGCAATTTTGTAATAAATTATTTATTTATAGCTTCCAAAAATTTATTTGTATCGCTCATCTTTGTCTAATATTTACATGATGGCGTCAACCAAATATACACTACCCACATACGTAGTAAAATTGCGCGAGATCAATGACGTTTCTAGACAAACATAACCTTAAAATTTTTCTGTCAAGTCTTTATACACGCCCGAAAACAGACAAGATTTTAGTTGAAATTTTATTATTTTAAAATAATGTCGGAAATCCAAATATCTTGGCCCTGGCAGTACAATTTCCCACCTTTTTTTAGTTTACAACCGCACCGAGAAACAAGAAATAAGCAAATCGCCGCTTGGAGAAACTTAATATTGGAATATTTCAAACTAACGAAACAAAGCACTTTAGACATTCATGAAGCGACAAACTTGCCGGTTTTTAATAACACCCAAATCAATAGGAAATTAGATTCGAATACCTTATTAACTATATTGGGTGAATTACAAAATACAGGAAACGCAGCACCCATAGATAAGCAAAAGAATATGTGGGAGATTTATTGGCACACTTTGGATGAATGGGCGAGTATTGTTTATAACTATATATCTGGAATTGGTGCTACAAATTCTGTTATGACTATTTATGAGCTTACCCAAGGGGATGATATTCAAACGGAGGAGTTTTGCGGGCTAGATGTTAATGTTTTTATTAAGATTTTAAAAGTTTTGGAATCGCAAGGAAAATGTGAGGTTATGGTCATTGATGATCAACAAGGTGTAAAATTTTTTTAGATACTTTAATAAATGTTATGAGTAAATTATTAGATCGTTTTATTTTTATTAATTTCTTTTAAATTAATTAGAAGTAATAATACTAAAAATAGTTTCCCTATTTGCAATCAAATAGATTATTTCATGTTTTAATTTAAATTGATAATTTATCATTTAAATTGATAGGTGAAATGCTTTATCAACATGTAAGGTTTTATGGGCGTAATGAAGACGTTTGTGGCCATCAACTAACGTCTCAGGCCCCAAACATTATTGGCATAATTAGCCACAACCGCTAATTATGCCTGTGGTACATACAAAATTTTATGTCTGGTCGAAGTTTTGAACTTTATAATAATTTAGGTAGATTCAATTTTATAAACGACACAAAAATCGAGAAGGTGGAATAAGCCAGTTATTGTTGTTACCATAGTAACGGCATAAACAAGGCTAGTCATTGTTAATTTAGTCCGTGTTCAGTTTTTGTAGTGAAATATTTAATGGAAAGACTCTCGAAAAATGGAAATAACAGAGGTATTTTCTGTTGACGACGAAGGAGAAGTGGTCGTTTCAGAAGAAATAGTTCAAGCAGTCAAAAGAGCTACCGTCTTTTTCCATCCAAATCGCGGGATAAATGTGAAAAAGTATACAGAAATTTTATGGACTGGTCTAACTAACACAATCACAGGCAAGTGTTCCGAAGATGTTCCCCTTGCAAATTTTTTGGAAAAATCAGAAAAATATTTAATAGCTTCTCAACATTTTAATCAATGGGGTAGTTAATCTAGGGTTAATCTAGGGGTAGATTTGTTTTGGGTAGATTCTTGGTTATTATTATAGGACACTTTTTTACAGAGAATTTCATGACGTAGAAAAAAAAGTGTTGCGGTTTTAGATTTTGAGATATGACAATTTTTGTTTTTTTAAATGGAAACAACCACTGATTATTCGCTTATTAAATTCGTTATTTTTTTTTCTGATTACAAAAATATGGGGTTATATAGGTCTATTTATTATTGTTTTAGAATAAAGCTAAAAATAAACTTTTTTTTAGTGTCGTCAAAGAAATTAAATTTACAGTTTCCTGCAAATTACGGTACTATAACTAAAAACTATTCTACTAAAAATTTTTATAAAACTTTACTTTATTTTCTAATATGTAACATTCTAACATGTTAAACTTTTCGGAACTTTCGTAATTCATCTTAAAAAACAGGATTTTTAATTTGACACTTCAGAAAATTTTTGAATACAAACAAATGTTTCTATGTTTATTTGAATTAAAAAATATAAAGTCCCTAAATTTACAAAATACCGCGGTTCATGAAGCCTGTTTTCGAGTGTTGTCACTGCATCTCACCACTTATTTACAAAAATATTGCCGTTTTGTTGCCTTTGGAGTTGCAAAAATGGCAATAAGAAGCACCTTTGACTCTTCAGAGTACCACGAGAAAAAAGAAAGAAAATTTGGCGTATATAGTTTTTAATTTTTAGTTATAATTTACAGGAAACTGTAAATTTAATTCCTTTGACGATACTAAGAAAAGTGTATTTTTAGCTTTATTCTAAAACAATAAGAAATAGACCTGTCAAACCCTATATTTTTGTAATTTACAAAAAAAATAACGAATTTAATAAGCGAATAATCAGTGGTTGTTTCTATTTAAAAAAACGAAAATTTTTTTAGACTACGTCATCAAATTCTCTGTAAAAAAGTGTCTATACAGGGTGTATCTGAATGACTGCAACAAACTTCAAGAGGTGATTCTTTAGTGAATTTTAAGGATACTTTGATATATGAACCATGGGCGACTTCGGTCCCCCTAAGGAGCTACACCCCTCCAAAAATTGCGGAAAATTTTGGTTTAATTTCTTTTTCTCAAAAACCATAAACGCTAGGAAAATGAAATTTGGCGAATATGTCTAAGTCATAATAGGGCACGTTTTGACCCTATTTGTACTTTCAACCTACCCTTCTAAACTACTAACGTAACCACCCCCTTTACATTTTTGCAAAATTTTTTTTTATGCAGATGATAAACACATTGGAAAAATTTCAGTTAGATAGATAAAACTATTCTAAAACTTTTTTGTCTCTCTAAAATTTTTCCAAAAACGACTAATTTTTGAGAAAAAAAATAATAAAGCAAACACTGCCCGTTAAACAATGGGGTTGTCGATCAAAAGTTGGAATGAAAGTTTAATGAAAAAATCTTGGTAGGGTTTGCAATCTTTGTCAGAAATATTTTTGACGTTTAAATGTCAGTGTTTTTCTTATTATTATTATTGTTTTTCAAATTAATTTTTAAATAAAGTTCTATCGCATTTACGATCGTTCACTCGACGTTTCAAAATTTTAAATAAAACAATAATAATAGTAAGAAAACCACAGATATTTAAACGTCAAAAATATTTATGACAAAGATTATGGCAAAGCCTACTAAGATTTTTTCATTAAAAATTTATTCCAACTTTCGATTAACAACCCTACAGCTTAACAGTTAGTGTTTGCTTAATTATTTTTTTCTCAGAAATTATTAAGTTTTAGAAGAACATCAGAGAGACAAAAAAGTTTTAGAATAGTTTTATCTATCTAACTGAAATTTTTCCAATGTATTTATCATTTTCATTAAAAAAATCTAGGCATAAATTGAACGGGGTTGGTTACGTTTATTAGTAGTTTAGAAGGGTAGGTTGAAAGTACAAATAGGGTCAAAACGTGCCGTATTATGAGTTAAACATATTCCCCAAATTTTAGTTTCCTAGCGTTTATGGTTTTTGAGAAAAAACAAATAAACCAAAATTTTCCGCCATTTTTGGAGGGGTGTAGCTCCTTAGGGGAGCCGAAGTCACCCATGGTTCATATATCAAAGTACCCTTAAAATTCACTAAAGAATCACCCCTTGAAGTTTGTTGCAGTCATTCAGATACACCCTGTATAATGTCTTACGATTAGTTATAATACTCCCCCTATAACAATAACCAAGATAATTGCACTTGTTGGTTTTACGATATTTTCATTTTGGCCTCTAGGGGAAAAACAAAAGACAATAACGCTTTGAGGTTTTCGGCATTAGCAGTTTCTCGAAAAACGAGATTACAAATAGCTTACATGTTAAGCTATTTGTTTCTAACTCTTATAGTTTCCGAGTTAGCCTATTCGGACATCGAATTTGAACCAACCTGTATAGGCATGGTGGCATAGATAGTTTAAACTGAACAGTACAAACTGTACGTGTGACCGGCCTAAGAAATCGAATGTTTTGTCAAGACAAGAAAGTGAAGAATTTGTGCAGAACACACTAGATGAAATGTATTTAATGGTTAAGGTAAAGTGTTAAATAACAAATATGTTCCTTCCATTTCGTCTATGTCAAGAACTAGACGAATTATTTTTTGTGATTTGCAACAAAAATTGTAGGTTGTTTTTTTTGCAATGTCAAAGAGAATTTGGAGCAAATATGAAGTTAAATTTAAAGGATACAGTGATGATGTGTTAATAAATTTTGAACATATTCTAACATTGAATGAGAGAAAATTAACTGTTTTTATGATGCGCAACAAAAATTATAGGTTATATGTATGTTTCTTGCAATGTTAAACAATTTATCTAAAATGCATCATTTTGATACATGATGACAAGGTTTCATGATCTATCAAACCTCGTTCACTTTTTTAATCGTTTTATTAATAATTAATTGATATTAATCAGCAAAATAGAAAGGTTTTAGATAAATTTTGTTTGACATTGCAAGAAAAACAATCTCCAATTTTAGTTACAGATCACAAAAAATAAATAATCTTCTTTTGGTATCATTTAGATTGAAATATGATGCAAAAGTAGTTTAGCTTGGAGTGAAAATTCGTCCATTCCCCATTTATTTGTAAAATCGTGTTATTTCCCCCTATTTGTATATAGGTCAGCGATAAGCAAGAATATGATTCATGAATACATGATCCAAAAAGAAACTAAATATTAAAAATCTATGACACGATGGGATATATTAAAAACATTAAGATATGATTTATAAAGTAATAAGTAAACGACTATTTCTGAAAGTATTAACAACACAAACTTAACACACTTTTTATTGTCAAACAGTATGGAGCATCGAACTCGTGACCTCCTCACTGGTTTAAAAATGTTAGGATTTGCTTAACAATACTTTTCGTTCCTTTAAATTTTCGTTTCAATAAAGGATTAATCTTATCAGAGCAGATGTTTCCCAACAAACCAATAAGGGGTTAAATCCTTAACGTACTTTGTTGCATTAAGATTTACGAATATGTTATTAAATTTTAAACATAAACAGATAAAAAGACAACTTTTTTTTATATACAACATGCAACAATAAAAGCAGAGAAGCATTTAATTAAAGGATAACACAAAATCAACTTACCCGTAAATTTGAATTAGAATGTAAATTTTTCTCAACTCTAACATCAGGATAACTCTGAGTAACATTTCTGTTGTCGTTATTCTTCACATACCAAGAACTTAAATCCTGTAAACTTCCAAAACAGTGTTTTTCAACATCACAAGGTGAATTGAGCTCTTCGCAACTTTGCGTAGGTTTCGAAACCCCATAAACTTTCGGGCTCAATTTGTAATTTAAAAGTGTATCGTTGTTGCATTTATCTAAATTATCGCAACTGATCATCGGCTTGGTCAGTTTACGCGCTTTTTTGTATTCAAAGAATTTATTACTGTTTGGCGTTTTAAAAATGGCTTTTAAATTGCTCAACTCAATACTTTTCGAACTGTAAACGGAAATGTTATCAACAGAGCTTCGAAAATCGACGTCGTCTGCTATAGATGGTAAAGAAGTCGTTTCGGATTTCGATGGTAAAATAATCTCTTGAATTTCGAGATTTTTTTCAGAGAAACTATCATCGTCTGTTATTGGTATAAAGTTATCGGTGACATTTTTTTCGTTTACTTTAATATTATTTGAGTTAAAATTAAGAGGCATTGCCCTCACTGTTAAGCGATTATAAATGGTATCTACATCCTGTTTTTCACCTTTATTTTCGCAAGCACGAATATTATTAATATTCGAATTATTATTCAAACTAAAATTTTCTAAATTTGGTTGTAAAGTTACATTGGCGGGTCGTTTTGTACCAATTGGTAAAATGGGCGATGGACGTTGTGATGGAAATTCAACCACTAAAATCCTATCGCTAATATTTCCACATTCATCTCGGTATCCAATACCCGAATCCGAATTACTCGATGCACTTGGTTGTGGAGAATTTGCAACTAATTCTTCGTTATTTTTATTATCAGTTTCGATGTCTTCTAAACGAAACATATTTTGAATTAATTTGACTAAATATAAAGCGTTTTGAGGAAATTCTAAACATGAACCTGAAACATCCATAAAAAAGTTACGTATTTCATGAAAATTAAATAACAAGGGAAGTAACATAACTGTGGCACACCTATTTCGATGAAATTTGGTACAGCTATAGAATGGACCAAAATAAGGTTTACGTATTTTTTATACGTGCGGTAAAAGCCTCTGAACCGAGTTTTAGGGGTTGAAAGTTTGGGGAAAAAGTACATTTTTGCCTATATTTCAAAAACGAAAAGTACTATCAGAATTTAGTAAATTGAAACTGATATTTATTTTTAATAAGCTTTCATTTGATGTATCACACATATACCATAGGGTGAACCTACCCTTATTTTTTCGGGTTTATTTCAAAACTACCCTGTCGATTTTGATAGCGTTAAATATACTTGTAGCACATTCAAAAATATTAGTTAAGTGTTTTTTTTTTTTCATTCGTCGTAGATCAACCCTAGCGAAGTTACGGGGGTTAACATACATTTTCGTAAGAATGGTGATAAAACTGTCAGGTATTTTGAAAATATTTTAAACATAACCGTAAATTAGTCGCACAGTAAAATGTTTAGTGTAAAGTAAGGCGTATACGACATTTGGGAGTAGTGGGTGTTACCCCCTTAAAAATTAATTCTATTCCAGGTGTTACTTGTCGAGTTCGGCGAAATATGTCACGGCATTTGTATTATATGTGAAGTAAAATTTTTGAAAATGGTTATAAGGGCTGGAAGTTATGGGAAGAGGTAAATATAAAATTTCTAGATAGAAAACTTGTTATTTTATTTATTTATGAGTTGAAAACCAACAAACAAAAGAAATGATTCAATAAATAAACTAAAAAAAAATGTAGTATACATTACTAATTGACGTTTCTTATGTTGAATGTTTAAAAGTGTAAAATTTTTTTTTATTCTACATACGTTGACAAAAATAATAGTTGTGGAAAAAATGTTTTAACCATAGGAACTTTTGACACCATACACATGTTATGACCGCTACATCCCTACAAGACTCGAAAAGCAAACTTTCACAGTATTTGAAAATGGTCTCTCATTTAGATATCCACTTGCAAACCATGCGTATTTAAAAACATTTATAAACCGAGGGAAAGATAATTGGTTATGCTAGCTAATTATAGCTAGCAAAAAATGTTCAGATATAAATACAAAATTTTAGTGTTTTTTTAAATCTATTAAAGACAATTTAAGTATACAGGATCAGTCTAAAAGTTATGAAGATACTAATTTACGGTTTCTTTAACGGAACAGCCTGTATATTATTCTCGTGTATTCTCTATGTATTTCTCGAATTATAGAAGAAAATGTTAATTCGTATATCTTAATCGGATCAAGTTACCTTAGGAAACAAATAAGAGAGCACACGGATTTCACGGATCAATGAAACATCAACAATGATAATAAAACAAAATGAACCAATACACTTAGAATAACTTAAATTTTTAAAAAAATTCATCAATGAAACATCAACAATGATAATAAAACAAAATGAACCAATACACTTAGAATAACTTAAATTTTTAAAAATTTTTAAATTTACTAAAAAATAGCTCACTAATGTTCTTAATGTCTTACATAAACCTCGATGCATTTATTTAATCTAGTTTCGACGGAAAAAAAAGTCTCGGCCTTGGACACGTTTCTATTGGCATTTAAGGTTTTGTCATATTTTCCCTGGTTATTGGTTTTTCTTGAAAAGTCAGGTCGATTAGTCAACCCAATAATAAAATAATTTAGATAAAGGGGTGCAAGCAATGTGGATTTTGCTCGAACCAAGAATGTATATTATGCAAGTTTACACCAGCTTCTGGAGAGATGCTTCATGCATCCATAGCATTTGTGATAAAAGGTTTGGATTTGCTCAAATCATATTTAAAAGTCAATGATAATTGTTCAGTCTGTTATCATAATGGGTATCTGTTAAGGCTTGATGTAAAACAATGTGGTGGAGATATTATTCTCTTGAGGAACCTTGTGGACAATTGTTTTCAGAGGTCCCAGATTATGTGGGATCGCATTGCGTACCAATGTGATTTACGACTTCATAGAGATGTCTGAATGGGCAACGTGTAGCCAGTTTTCCGTAATCGCTAAGTCAATCTTAAAAACACTTCTAGAAAAAAATGTCTCTCTTTGTCGTAATTGCATTGCGCATTTTTGCCATGCAGTTGCGTCGTATTCGAAACATTGAAAATAAATCATCATACGCTCTATCGTATGCTTCTGTGTTAGTAAATGACATATTTACAGTTACCATGGTTATGTGATTTGTTTTTCTCGATGAGGTAACTGGATCCGATTTCCATGGCAAGTAGGTTAATATCGATTAGATATGTGTGCATTTTTCAAAAAACCCTAACTATCTCTCAAACTATTAATGTTAAGTATGGGACATATGGGGTATAAAAGATGTAAAATGAGACGCCATAGAGGACTAAGTAATAAAATATGGGGGAGCCATTTAAAAAATGGAGTTATGGTACTTCGAAATTTCAAAAAGTTAACGTGACATAGTAAAGGACCAAGCGATTTAGACAGCTGTTCTCGGCACGAAAACATACTACATCATGTTGCTTAATCATATTCTGAATCCTAAATTGATATCCCAAAAATCGAGTGTCATCAAATCAAATTGCAGAAAGTAAAGTTATTCATAAACCTTGAAACTAGACAAATCCAAATATGTAAAAATATATAGGGTGCTCCATTTAAAAAAATAAAATAGCTATAACCGGAAGTGCTAAAAATCTGAAAATATTTTAGTTGTAGAGAACGCAATTGATTATACAGGGTGTCAGATAAAAACCGCCCCAAGCTGTAACTCTGTCATTTACATTGCGATTTTCATGAGCGAGGTATCAAATGAAAAGGTTTGATGAATACTATGATTCATGCTACAAATACACTTTTTCCAAAGCCATCTTCAATTTCAATCGATTGTCAGCTTTTGATTCTCAAATTGCTCGGTATGTTTTTCTTCACGCTATTGGTTAAAGACTTTTTTTCTGATCCATTAATGTACAATACATCAACTTTAATTGTAATTGTAGTAGAGAAAAACATTAAAATAATTTCCGAACATTCTCTTAAGTCACTTGTGTTATACTGTAGTGTGTCATGGGAAAAAATAATCATTTACAACTGCTTCAGGCATTGAAATATCATTTAATGACTGTTATTAGTTTTGCGCGTTATTTTTTTCCATGGCACACTACAGCATTACAGAAGTGACTAAGACAATGTTCGGAAAATGTTTTAATTGTTGTTCTCTGCTAAAATTACAATTAATGTTAATATATTGTACAGGGTGTCCCAATTTCGGTGTCCGCATAGGCTATTTCCAAAACTAAAAGAGATAGAAAAAAAGTAGCTTACATGTCATGATCTCGTTTTTTCAGAAAATACTAATGCCGAAAACTGCGAGTCTTTTGTTTTCGCCCTATCGGCAAAAATTGAAAATTTTGCGAAAACGACAATCGCGAATATCTCACTTATTATCAAATATGGAATATTATAAATAAAACATTATATGGGCAACGTTTTACGAAGAATTCAGTGGCGTAGGTAGAATTTTTTTCTCATCTTTTATTTTCGAGATTTTTTAAGTAACTTTATTTTTTTAAATGGAAACCATAGTGGGCTATGAGCTAAAATAATTTGTTATTTTCTTCTGATAACAAATATATATAGTTTGTGGGGTATATTTCTTATAGTTATTGAACAATTAACAAAAATTCTTTTTGTTCTATCTAAAACTAATCTATGTATTTAAAAGTTAATGTTGCTATGGTGATAACCATACATACTATGATGGAAAATAATGTATCAGATAATTACCAAAGTTTGTATTTAAAAATTCGCTAACAACTCTGACATTATGTGCTGGTATGGAGCATCGGCATGTTAAGTGTCAAAGTATAACAAAACTGAATAAAACTTTGCAATGAATTTCGGAAATTATGAAAAAGGTAACATGATGGAATGCTGATGGAAATATCAGATAAGAATGCGACGTTAGCCGCGGAATTATGTAAGCACACAAGAACTTTCAGCCGGTTAGCAGAAAATTTAATGGATTTTTGGTCCTTCCTCAAACCACGTGCAAAAACATACCAAAATGACCTGCAATGACGGCTTCAGTTGCGATAAATCCATCAACATCTTGCAGAGAAATTGAACAAGACGTCTAACCCAAAAGCCGCTGCTCCCGAATATGAAAGAAAAATAAATATAAACCATACAAAGCTGGGTTACTCATTATTTACGTGCCGGAGATGTCAATCTAAGAATAGAATTATGTAGATGATATTTAGAAAAATTAAATAATCTGCTGTTTGTTCAAAATGTCATCTGGACCGATGAAGTCTCTGAGTGTTCAAAGAAGATTCGGGTTCAATGTATGGTGACTGGTGTGAAGTTATCCATAAATAAAAACGAAGTATTTAAGTTATTTTAAGTTTTTTATTCATAAAAACTTAAACTGAGGTAACGTGCTGCCTTAATATATTGAGATATATTATATTAAGGCAGCACATTGGGCCTTTGGTCGACCATTTGCCATTAAATATGTCTCAAATGATATATATTCAATATGACGGAGCACCAGCACATAATGCCAGAGTTGTTAGTGAATTTTTAAATACTACTACAAACTTCGGCAATAATGGGAAACAATGTTTTCCATCATGGAATGGTTATCACCATAACAACATTAAGTTTTAAATACATACAATAGTTTTAGATAGAACAAAATGAATTTTTGTTAATTATTCAATAACTATAAGAAATATACCCCACAAACTATATATATTTGTTATCAGAAGAAAATAACAAATTATTTTAAG